TACTTACCTGAGCGGTCGGAAATCATACGTACTGTTTCGAGGACAAAGCTCTTAAGAAAAATCAAACAGGGATTACAGACTGAATCTCTTAGTCTTACTCTTCTCTAGCTAGGTTCTGCTTCGCAAAAACCATCCTTGCAGTCATTTGCTTGAAGCAGAGCCGCATAATAGAAACCTCAAGAAATCTTGCTTGCTTGTTATGGCRACTTCAAAAAAGTACGCCGACCTGACTTCGGGAGCAACAAACTTTAGCCAGGTACTGACCGCCATTCACAGTAGTGATATTAACACCTTCAGCTACTCCTTACTTTCTCTCAGTGATTAGTGGATTAGTGTACTTGTAGTTAAACCAGTCGAAACGAGGAGCTCGAGTAGAGAGTCGAGAATCTAAACTGGCCTTTGCTACCCTGATTTGCTAAATGTGTGTCCAGCGTGCAGGGAATCTCAGCATGACTCTGACCACCACTCTGAATGCCCAGCGAATCCCATTAAGCCAACACCTCTCTGCTTATGGTCCGCCCCGGCGAAACAGTACATTTCCTGATAACTCCGATGTCAACCAACCCGAACACTATCACTAAGCGGAAATTGAGAAAAGAAGCTGAGTTAAATTTAGTGTTTGTTTGACCGCTTTTTCAAGTATATAACCAAATTAACTAACCAAACTGACTAATCAAAGTCAAGATAATATTATATTTACAGAGGGAACTATTATCAGTTAGAACGCATATCCTTGGAAGCGACTTATATTATATTTAGGTACGTAAGCTTAGTAAAAAGTCATGGGTTTTGATAAGAAAATTTCTACCCACTCTTCGACACTACTCTTGTTGCGAAATTGACATTTTGCTCTACAATAGGCTTGAATCTTTTCGACTTCTATTCAATGACCATTGGCTTCAGTTCTGAGAATAAGAAATAGAAATTTCTGGCCAGATTCATAGACATGATCAATTTTCTCTTATTTTCATTGATCGGTTGATTGTGAGCTTGCCCTACTTTGAACAGATTTTTATTTTACCCAAATTAATTTTAAAAATATTTCCAATATATGAATTCCTCTACTATCTTAAGAATTTCAGATATCACGTTCTACTTAATTTAATAGTTATTCTCAAGCATACCTTGGATTTTTCTAGGTTTCCGCCCTTGTGGAGTATAATTCAAAATTGTAAAATTTATGAAAAAATAGTGTAAAGATATACGAAATATCATTTTACAATTGGATAATATTCATTTAATTCATGTTGCTCCACTAAAATATGTCTGCTATGCGCCAGTCACGTTTTCCATTTGCGCGCGCTGACACCACAAGCCGCAACTTAATAAAAGTGTCACTTTCGCGGATTTATGATGCTAATTAAATAAAATCAAATTATGCACATTGCTGCCTGCAACATTTCCATGCAAATTATTTGTAGGAGCAAGCCGAGCCAATGATTAAAACATGTATTACACAAACACACAAAACCATAGATCAAACGTCGCTCATACGCCCCGGCGGCTGTGCAGGTTCTCATAGTGCAAGTAGAGAAACATAAATTTCTGCAAGTGAAAGCGCGCATATTTATGGTGTGAAGCGAGTGGGAAATTACATAAATCTTCACTTCACTTTGTAATAGTATGCTTTTAACTGAAACATACACGTACATACATATAAAGATATCTTCGTTGCATGCGAATTACAATATGTTTGCGAACTTTATTTTTTATACATGCGAACCTAAAGTGATCACTTGAAATTGACCAAAAGAGGGTATGTAGGTAATTTGTTTGTTTTTGACGCTTGTGTGTGTTTATATACATATATCTTGTGCCACTACCTGTAAAGATACTCCCATTGTGTGTGCTTTTAAATTAACTTGCCCGCACAAATTGGATTATACACGCTACAAATAGTGTTTTTTTTTAACTCAGCTGATTGTGGGCGAATGCAATTTTTCTTTTAACATTTATTTTTTCTTTATCGAGTTTTGTTATTCAGGTTTATACATCCTTTTCCTGCCTGTACGCTACACATTTCTTGGCTAAATACACACAGCTGCAGACATCACACCAATATGTCGAGCAAAAAAGTGTATTGTTAATAAATGGGGCCAGTGAAAGAAGGTAAATAAATTCAATTTGCCGTCAACAAAGCAACAAAGAGCGAAATGAAGCAAACAAGCCAGTCAAATAGTCCTTCACAGCGCCTCCACCCAATAAAGTGAGCGAAAGCGCAAAATATTAAATTAAACTGCTATGAAGCTGTAGACTCTTATACTTTTACTATTGACTACCATTATTGCTGTTGTAGCCGCGAACACCTTGTTTTACCTGTGTGCCTTACATGCACTTGTTTAGCTGCATGTGCACCACGTCGTATGCGCAACTTTTGTCGCTTGTGTTCTTGCCTTACTTACTCACACCTATACATAGTTTGGCAGTCGTCGGCGGTGTGTTGTGTTATTTAATTGTGCAGCCGTCTTTCCTTTTGTTCGGTTGTTAATTGACAAAATTTACAGTTACACGTTTGTCTTATATTTGCACGTCTCGAGTGTCGAGTTCTCGTGCAGCAAATTTTATTTTATTTCATGAAAACTGATTTCAGACTGGTGGCGTTGTAGCGCAATTCTTAATTACAAGGATTTGTTTCCAGAGCAACGGGTTTGCTCTCTACTGTTCTTATTGGTTGCAAATTAAGAAAGTTAAGGCAGCTGCTTTGTTATTTACCGCTTTACCATAAAGAGTATTTAGCTCATTGGGTATTTGATTACGATAGGTTGATAGAGAAGTGGTATTAAAAATATATGTTCAGTTATAGATCAATTTACAATTTGAGGCAGGCGAAGATTACAGCGCGTACATGATCTTTTAAAAAGTGACTATCTAATTTTATTGAATTGGGTTGAAAGGAACGGATTATTTTCCTGGTAGAAAAAGCATTAGTTTTTAACTTAAAGGCTTTGTTTATATAATATAAAACATAATTTGACTGAAACTATTTAGGCCAAATATGCATCGTTGTATTGTCATTTTAAAAATAGGAATGGTAAATCGGTCAGTGAGGTTTTTTGGTTAACTATGTTAAATTGTACATGTTGCAATTGTTGCTTCTAGAGCATACTGCATCTGTGATATCAAAATTACCGCAATAGAATCAACGAAACTAAAATTTTGCGTTCCAAAGTAAACAGGACTTTAAAAAAATGGTTTTTTTTTGGCAAAATCAGTTTATTTTTTTCAAAATAGTCTCCTTCTGCTTCAACACAGCTTTTTGCACAGTCCAAAGCATGTCGAACGAGTTTAGCTCGTTGGCAGTGCAAGCCTTTGCAATGGCCTCTACGTCTGCACAACGCTTTCTTTCATGGGCAAGTGCATATTTCCGAAAAGAAAAAAGTCGCATGGTGCCATATCAGGTAGAGTGGTTAATGGTTAAAATGTGATTTTTTGTCAAATAATCGGTCACAAGCGTCGAATCGAATGTTGGATCGTCAGTGAATTTGTGTGGAACAAACCGTGTACACACCCTTCGTAAGCCCGAACTTTCGCTCAAAATGCGATAAATCGATGTTTTGGAGATGTTCAATTCCATTTCCATGAATTTCAATGATGACTTAGGCTTTTGATTGATTGACCCACATGTTGATCGTCATTTATGTTCTCATGACCAATTTGAAAACGTTAAAGGCACTTGTGAATTATTCCATTCCGTTCCTTCCATCAACTACTTCTTGATTTGTGTACTGGAAAATGAAAGAATCAACCAGGAAGTAGACGCGGTTGTAGTCCGATTTCGTTTATTTTATTTTGGCATCCCGAAAATATTACGATTTCGTGCGGCTTATGAGCCAGCGGCATCTTTACCGTGATATCGTGATGATAAAGACCGGCATTTTACTGTGCATGGGAATCACTACCGCTCAATGATAACTCAATATTTTTGGCCCGAATTAAATCATATGGACTTGGGCAATATGTGGTTCCAATAGGACGGCACCACAAGCCACACAGCAAAAATGGAATTTAAAAGTTTTTAGAAATTCTCTCAACGGTTACATGTGTTTTGAACAGCTATATATAGATGAAGTGTATATTTTATTTAAATTGTGCTCTAGTAAATGCCCTCAACTTGTACGGGTCATTATATGCGAGCAAAACATTTTATCACTTAATGCAAAATGCTCAAGACTTTCGCCAGCTCAATGAATGAAGTCTTCCCCGAATTGAGTTCAAAGTGATTTTTTCATAATGCAAATTGAATGCATCGCTTTGTCCGTACAAATGAGCGTATGACGCGCACAACAACAACAGCAAAAGTAACACCACAGTGATATCTTCTTATTTTTTTCACATTCACTTTCGCTGTTTTGCGAAAAATACTCAACCCACGGTGGCAAAGTCGTGCCGACACCAACGTCAATTAGGGCGTTCAAACAACTTAAAACTGAATTATCCAATTTAATAGTTACAACAAAAACACACACACACACATACATACCGAACAAGCTACTAATAAATAAATTTGCAAGTGTTGTTGTAAATCGGTTTGATTCTTTTTTATTATTGCGCGACTACAGCGTTTTCAAGCACATCCGGTCTGTGGGACAGTTGGGCACATAAATCAACGGCACTGCCATCGCAGTTATTCGGCGAGTGTGAGCTATGGCGGGCGGTTTGAAATTTACGGCTGAGGTCGTTAAACGATTTAGTGCATAGAAATATTAAAGCTTTGAATATTAATGTTATTATTAAAAAAGAGAGAAAAGTAAAAAAAAAAAAAAAATTCAGCGAGCGAAATATTTTAAAAAATTCGAAAAATAATCGCAAAAGTTTAAATTTTAACGTTAAACATATGATAGTGTTCGTCAAAGTTAACGATCTTTAAGATCCATTCAAGCGACCTTAGTGATTTTCCCAAAAAAATTATATAAAGCAACAAGCAATCTATATATATATATATATACAACCGACTTTTATATGGCCGCAACAACATTTTCTTGTTCCAATTCCACTTGCAGCACCTACAGTGACTCGGCAGCCGCGTCTAGTGAAACCTTAGACGCCGCTTCGGTCGTCTCACCCACCATGGCCGCCGCGCCGCCTGCCGCCGCCGCTGCCACGGCGAGCACATCGCTCAGCTACCAGGACGAACAACAGCCGCCACAACATGTGATGCGTGCACACCTCAGCAGTCATCATCACTATCACCTGCCGCACCAGTTCCAGCATCCACATCATCAAAATCATCACACACACGGTGGTGTGCCCGTAGCTACGCCCACAGTGCCCGCCAGCTATGCTGGCGCACAACATCTGCTGCACCATCACCACAAAACGAGTCCCTACAGCAGCAGTGCGATGGATGAGGATAGCAGCGGCAGTGTGAGCGGCATGAGCGGTCCAACGCCACCAGCCAAACCGCCACACACACAAGAACGTCATTCGCCGCCAAGCAATGGCGCCACCGCAGCCACTATGGCCACTTCTAGTGTCCTGCTGGTCGCAGATGCCGCTGCTTCAAGTGTTTCGGTGTCGCCGGGACGCTTGGCCAGTCGTTCGGGCTCTCATCATCGTGTCACCATTGATGAGTCGAATATAGCAACGTCGTCAGCGTTGAGCCATCAACTGGATGTTAGAGGTGGTGAAGGTGGCGATGATGGTGATGCTGGTGGTAGTGGCGGTGGCGGTGCAGGCGGTTCGGGTCCACCGTCACCCGGTTCATCGCATCGCCGTCTCTCCTCGGCGCTTGGTGATGATCGACAGACAGGGCATTTAGCGTTAATGTATCATTCGCATCAGTTGACCAGCTACCCGGTGTTGCCAGCCATCAAGCGAACGCATCGACCGTCATTCATATATCCACCAATGCCGCGTGTCAGAGCGTAAGTACACCTTAAATTTGATTTTATATATATGTATATTTGAATCGTATGCTCTCTAGATGAGGCTAGTAACTGTATATATTCTATTTTTCGATAACATCTCAGTTATTTGCATTCGCGGTGAAATTGTTGTTAGCACTCTTTTTCTGTTATTTTGACCCGTAGTGTCCCATGGTAGTTAAAACTGAGAACTAAGTGTCATTTTTACCAAGTAGTTTAGGTTAGATAAATAGATTAATTTTTCATGAAGTCACGAATAATCCCATTTGGACAGCTAGAGACTCCTGTCCGCTGTGATACTCGGAACCCCTAGTTATGGATCAAAGGTCTTCAGCTATACGTCTAGAGGCTGCCGCAAATTTATTGAGATGGTTATATCAATTCTACGTTTGTAGAAAGTATGGCAACCCAGATGATTAAACCTTAATCCAGCGAAAACTGTACAGCAGAGAAGAAAGTGTCTGATTGTGTCCACCATCCTCTTTGCTACCTGGACAAGTGGCGTTCTCCAAAATCTTTAGCCTAACCGCGTGAGTATTAATGGGACAGAATCTAGTTGGCATATCTATCATTGCGGCGATGTGAACATTGCTAAAGCAAATAATGGACCTTCTAAGTTTCATTCGGAGCCAGATGTATTGCCAACGGCCATAAACCACATAAATTTTCCTAACAAAGTTTAACGATTTGTAAACGAAGTTGAGATATGTGCTATATCCATAATGAAATGCCAAACAATATTGAAGAAAAATAATATGACAGCTTGACATGACTCCCGCGTGATCTGTGAATAAAGGCTATTGGAAAAAGTACCCCTACTTGGATCAGCCGGTATGTCCCATCAAAACTTTTAGAGGCCGAACGTCATAGTTCCGGAAAAGATTTTTTGAAAATACATTTTTGGCTTGAAGATAATTTTTTGCTATGTTCTCTTTTATCTAACATTTACATTATTTTAGGTTTTTCGAAGTTCGCTGTGAACTAGTCCTTTCAGGATAGTGCGATGTTCTAAAAACTGGTCAAAATAATACTGCATCATTTTATAGTATGAAAAAGGGTTGTATTGTCTTCTCCAAATGTTTTTATTCTGCACATTTAAATTTTTTAGTGCTACTGGCTTCTATTTTCTGACGAATGAGCAAAACCCTTACCAAACCATGTATGAGTATTTTCCCTTCACTTCTTTTCACTTCTTCGTATTATTAATTTTCCTTAACTTTTCCAAATCGTGTAGTCAACTTTTTGGCTTGGAAACTTCACTGTCCACTAAAATGTTATCAAAATTGCATAACAAGACCAACTTGATATTTCTTATTAGAGTATTTCCTGTCACCTGCTACTTTTCCTTTCCCTTTTATACTATTTCGGTTGTGCTTTCATATTTGTTTCGAAACATTTATTCATTAAGTTTGAAATCTCTTCCCAAAGCATTTGCATAAATACTTTATCACCCTATTTTTGATCTGGAAAGTTTTTCACAGGAAAACAAACACAAATTAAAGACTACAGAAAAAACTATTATCGAATATTTTTGCATGTGGTTTTAATTAAAAAAAAAAAAAAAAAAAGTGTTAAAATGACCATCAATAACAAATCTATCAAAACTTTCGCGTTTACTATGAAACTAATACGTAATCATTGAATTTAGTGGTCGGAAAGCCAAGTGGTGTTTAATATCAATTTTTGTCATTCGAACCACAAATGCATTGTTCTCTGACTGTTTTTTCATATAAAAAGTTAAGCTAATCAGTAGAATATACATTCATTTTAATGAAAAAATATGAACTGATTTTTGCAAGTTCAATTTTGACTTAAGTATTTCGTGCTATTCAAATGTAATCAATGTTTAATGGAATCAATACAGTCAAAAATGTAGAGAGAAAAGGCTTTTTAAATTTGAAGTTCAAACCGTAAAATATCGATTAAAATACATTGAAATCTCTGAACATTTGTTGGGTTTTCATTTCAACAAAAGCATTTGCAATACAATTTCTTCCAATTACATACCAGGTTGTTCAAAAAGTTTTGTCGTTTGATAAGAAAAACATAATCTTATGATTCGAAATACACTTTCTTATTCAGTATAATTTCCCTAAACTTTAATACGTTTACTCCAACGATCCTCCAATCTGTGGATCGCATCCCTGAAGTGAGAATCTGGAAGGTCTGCAAAACACGTTTCAACTGCCATTATGACCTCTTCAATTGATGAAAATGCTTGCCCCGTTTTTTTCTTCTGTGAACAGGGTCTTTTCACACGAATTTTTCCTTCAGCTGGTTAAAAATGCCCAAAAATAATATTCAGAATTAATTGTTTTACCAGTTTTCAAGTAATCCACTAACAAAACTCCTCTTGCATCCCAAAAACTGATGCCATAACCGTCTTTGCCGATTTCCGGACACGAACTCCTTTCGGAGCCGAACAACCAGTTTCACACCACTCTTTAGCCTTTTGTTTTAATTCAGGATCATGGTGATAGACCCAAGTTTCATCCATACTTATTAATCGACTCACAAAATCCACTTTATCCTTTTTAAAACGCTCCAACTGTTGCTGGGAAAGTCGCATTCCAATGTGCTTTTGTTCCATTGTTAGCGAATGCGGCACCCATTGTGCACACAGCTCTCTAAGACCAAAAATTTCAAATGTTACAGCAGTTACCTATCAAATATAACTCTACTTGAATTTAACATGACCTTCTGCTTATGAAATTCAAAAACTGACGCACAAAAGTATAGGAAAATTTTTGAAATTTTATCCATTCCATTTGTCACCTTAATTATTTAAAAGACCGATTCAAGATTTATTTTGGTATCAAAGTGAACCTTGATTACCTTTCAACTTATTTCCCATTGTTCCCTACAATTTGTCAATATCCAAATCATAACTTTCATGAAATCAAGTTTATTGGCCCTATATATGCATCTATATACCATTATCCCAAACAAAGTCCCTAATATCACGATGGCGGCAAATTCAATTAAAAGCGAATCATGCGCCTCGCTGCCTCGCTGCCTCAGACACAAAGGACAAATCCCACAAAATTGCTTCATCAATTTTGGAGAAATTGAAAAAAAAGACGAATTTTGTCAACTCAAAGCATGAAAAATGACTTACATGCACATATGTATGGATGTACTTGTATGTACATAGGTTGTATACCGAACTTATAATATTTCCTCAAACAAAAATTGATGTCATAAACATTAGCTCATGTATGAGGACCCAGCGACAAAAGTGCACTCTGTGTTCGTATGTCTTTTATTTTGTTCATTAAAGGCCGTTTAAATCTACAAGAAGCACGGAAACTCACGCTTTTGCTTTCACCAACTCACTTCTGGGCTTTTCCTTAAATTTCTTAATGTCTCCTTCTTAGTGTTGTCGCCTGCTCTGGACGTTCTTTGGCGCAAAGACAAATTGCTTTGTGATGAACTGCGAGTTCATAAATTTGACATGATGTTGAGATTTTGGCGCTCTACATATAAGTAATAAACATATGTATGTGTGCTAAGTAGAAAATATGATTCGTTATGGTTTATTAAAGTTTGAAAAGTGCAATTTTATAGACTTTGGCTTGATAATGTTAATAAATTGTAGGCCACAGAGAACGTACATGTTGTACGCTATTATGTAGTTAAAGGACTATGCTTGAAATTTAATAGCAATATTTTTTTATTAAAAAAAAAAATATATAAAAGATTTGCTTTAGTACGGCGACAGCCGCTTGATATGGTGATTAATGGTACACCCTCCCATTACGTTCTTTCTCAGTAATCGGCCAGCATTAAAAAACAAATGTTCTTGGCAGGTGATGCACATATTCGAATATATTTTCACATTGAAATTTCACATTTTGCTGATTAACATTAAGGTGCACTCTACAAAAATGTTCAGACCAGAGACTCAATAAAGCATCTGGCAAATATGTAAGGTGATGTGTGGTTTTCAGTGGGACAATATTTTTTTCCGAATTGATCTTTTTGACAGCTGTTACTTGATTTATACTCAATTTGGTTTGCCATTTCAATATATAAATATTTACTCCGGAACAGCGCTTCCAAATCGTGGAATTTATTATCAAAGTAAGTGTTCGATTCGCGCGACTCATCGCATACATAGAGGATAATGCACATCCTCAGAGACGAGAGGTCAAAAAACCTTCTGCTCTATGGACAGAAAAGAGTGCCATGATTAATGACTTTTGCGTACTTGAATCAAGGACTTTTGGTTTCAACCATTGAATTGAAGGAAACTTTTGGTCAGTGCATTATCTTGCGTCGTGAGCCTGTAGCTTCCAAGATTTTACACCACCGAATTATTATGTGTGGAGTTATGAGGCTTGACGGCTGCATCTGATGTGAAAGATCGTAAAATTGGCCATTTTTGGGACATAACATTGCATTATATTATTTCTTCTTGAAAACCACATGTCTGATAAAAAAGAAACATCCTTTTTCACAGGTTTGCTCAGAAATTTTCACATATTCTTTATCAAAAATAATCATAGTTTAGTGATAATTAAAAATATTTTTATAGGAATTTTTAAATTAGGTCTATTGAAAACAAGTCTAGTATGTTATCTACCAAAAACACAAACAATTGCTCTTTTTTTTGTTTTGTTACTGCGTGCAAAAAAAGTAAGACTTTTTATTTTAAATTTCGCTCGAAAGCTTTTTTTTTTTGGGTTGGTATGACTGTCAGTGATATCTGTGCCAAAAGTCACATCAAAATAATCATTAGCGACGACGAACCATGGCCAGGAAGGACGGCCATGAACATAGACTTATGATCAACAAGTCAAAGAATAAAAAAAAATTGGTGTTTGCAAATCGACAATTAACAGCCAGAGATCTTACAGCTATCGTTGAAATAGCGGAAGGATCAGTAAGAACCATTTGAAAGGATCATTTGGGCCTAAGAAAAGTTAAAGCGCGATTTGTGAAACAATACTTATCGACTGCCAAGATGTCATGAAAGTAATTACCAGGAAAAAGGCGAT